TTGGGCTGCCGGGCCAGTCCCCGGGACCCTCCGAAACATCCACCCACCGCCGCCCGGCTTTTGACCATTTAAGAGGAAGATCGCCCGTAGTCAAGTCCCCATCGGCGCTCGCCAGTGTTTACATAACGCGGAACATCCCTCGCGGCTGAGCCCCGGGCACGGGGGAGGAACACAGGGAAAGTTGGAGCGGGCACGGGGCTGCACCGCCGAGCCTCCGGTGGTCCCGGGGAGGGGACCCCGGCCCGCCACCTCCCGGGACCCGCCGGGAGGGCGGAGGGTCCCTGCCGCGTCCGGCCAGGGCTCCGGCGGCCGGGCATCCCCGCCGAGCACCGGCTGCATCCCGCGGGCATCCCCGCCCAGCACCGGCTGCATCCCCCGGGCTGCGGCTCGGGGCTGTCCCGACGGCCGCTCGCCGCCCCCCTCCCTCCTTGCCCGGCCGTACCTGGCTGCGGAAGCGGCGGGGCGGGCTATGCGCGGCTGGACAGCCCCATGCCGGTCCCGCTCCCGAGGCTGCGCCCGCAGCGCCTCAGCCGCGCGTCCACATGGTCACTGCGCCCCGCGCCCCGCGCCGCGCCTTAAGTACCGCGCGGGGCACGCCGGGAAACAGAGTCCCGCCGCCGCCGCGCCCTCAGCCGCGGAGCCCCCCGGGACTACAACTCCCGGCGTGCCCCGCGCCGCACCCCGGGCGGGGGCAGCGGAGCTCCCGGTCCGTGTGCTCGGGGATGGGGATGGATGGATGGGATGAGATGGATGGGATGGATCCCCTCGGTTGGGGTCGCAGGGCTGCGCACAGAGCCCGGAGCGGGCGGGGAGCGAAGGCACAGCGGCGCGAGGCGCTGCCTGCGGCGGGGAGTCCCGGGGTGCGGCGGTACCGGGCACGGGGGCTGCGGGAAAACCGGCCAGGGAGAGCAAACACCGAGCAAACACCGAGGAAAGCTGGGGTCGGCACCGCTCGGGCAGCGCGGGATAGCGGGGAGGTGACGCCTAAGCCCTAAACGTGAGGTCTGGGGTTGCAGCTGCTGGCACAGGTGGTGTCACCTCTGCGGGGCTCAGGTGGGAGCCCTCGGTGAGCAGGGCAGGGATGGGGAAACACGACTGTTCTCGAAGAAACAGCTCAGAGCTCGGACAGAGTTTCACTGGGTTTGCTCTACCCTAGAACAGTGTCACAGGTTGTCACTAGCATGACAGCCTGTCTGTGATATCACAACGTCGGCCAGGATGACCGGCAGTGATCAAAAATATAGTAATATCCCATTTATTTATTGCATTAAGCAATACTTTGTCCTTCAGCATTAGCCAAAGTTATTTTCCACAACCACATGCCCTGTTTTCCATGCCCTCTGCGGGGTACACGTGGCTGGCTGGCAGCACCAAGAGCCATCCAGGGACGGGGGCAATGTTTGCCCTGTGAAACAACTGTGTCACCTTTACTGGCACCAGGTGAAGGAAACGCTTCCCTCTGCTCATTTCCACCCACACTCACGTGCTGTGTGGGTAACGGGCAGGGAATGGTGTGTAACTCCTGCCAGGCTCATGCCTTGTTGTTCTCCACAGCAGTGGGATGATGCTGGAGAACGGGAACAATCCCAGCTCAGCCAGTGGCTCAGCTCAGCACCCCCTCCCATGGCACTGGCTGTCCATTAAAAATGGCTCTGGAGGAGCTGGAGCTGTGGCTCAGGAGCAGGGACGTGCAGGAGCAGAAGGCCGTGACTCAGGAGCTGAAGCGAAGGTCAGTGCACGGTTTTATGGTTTCCTCCATGGCTGCAATACTACAAGCCATTACTCATCAGGAATTTGGCAGAGTAGAGGTGCCTAATATCATTAGATAATCCTAATGAATTCTTGTGTAAGCAAATCTAATCTCTGGACGGTTCAGCAGGCGGAGGCTGTGAGTGGCTGCAGCCAGCGCAGGCAGTGACATCAGGACTGTCACCAGAGCCAGGGCAGAGCTGTGCCCGCTGCACACCTTGAGCAGCTCTGCAGGCAGCCTGCCTGCAAACAGCTCCAGTGCTGAGGGAGAGAGCCCAGCAGCGGCAGAGTGGGACAGCTGGCACAGCCTGCCCAGGGAGGGCATGGAGCCTCCCTCTCAGGAGACATTCCTCCCCCAAATACCACGGGCCACGTTTGCTTCTGGGTCTCAGTTCTTCAGAGGCTGAGGAGTTCATAGAATCACAGAATCCTGGAATGGTTTGGGTCGGGAGGAACTTAAAGCCCACCCAGTGCCACCCCTTCCACAGGCAGGGACACCTTCCACCAGCTCAGGCTGCTCCAAGCCCTGTCCAACCTGGCCTTGGACATTCCCAGGGATGGAGCAGCCACAGCTTCTCTGGCACCCTGTGCCAGGGCCTGCCCACCCTCACAGCCAAGAATTCCTTCCATAAATCCAATCTAAACCTACTCTGTCAGTTTGAATCCATTCCTTGTCCTGTCACTACATGTTCATGCTACCTGGGAGGTGTCACTTCAGCCTGTAGAGCTGTAATGTGTGTTTGACCCAAACCCAAATGTGATTTCAGCCTCAGGAAAACACCTTGCAAGGGATTTTTATTTTTTGTTGTTGAAGAACTTTGCTGTATTTCTCCTTTTCAAACCTTATTCTGCTCCTTCCCTACCTTATTTTTAGCAATTATGGGAATTCAGTGTTGATGAAAGACATTAAGATGAGATTTGAAGTTTTTATTTGCTTTTCGCTTGTATTATCTTGCTTGATGCTGCCCAGCTTTCAACTAACCACTGATTTCTTTGCACTGTTTTGGATGGAAAGGACTCCAGCCTGCAGGGTGGGTTTGCACAGGTTTTGTCTCTGCTCTTGGTTCAGCTGCACAAGGAACAGCCCTGGAAGAAAATGAGAGCAGAAGATATTCCAGGACCCTGAGGATCAAACTGTCTCATCCTACTTGTGGTTGGTCATCATGATGAGGGAGAGGATCCCAAAAGCTTCCTGTCTTTAGTGAGATCCATGCCAGCCCTGGGAGATGAAAAGCACCCCTGACAAATGCTGGGCAACCCCTCAGCTCGCAGAGAAGGGCTGGAAATTCTCTCCTTTCCATCCTATTTTAATAACAGTGAAATCAGAAGCCTGGAGCACTCGGTGTGAGGAAAGAGAATAATTAAAGCCTGTGTGGAAGAGCTGAGCTGCCTGAGCACAAACATGATCAATAAATGATCAGCAAAAGTTCCTCAAAGTCCTCAGCATCACAAACTGGAAGTCGGGTGTTTTCATCTCCTCTGCAGAGAGAATAAGGAATATAAACCCTCCTGATGGGAGCACACAAATGATGCACACAAGAATTGTAGGAAAACGAGCCATGAGAACAACAGAGCTGTGCCAGCTCTCCGGGAATCAGCTGATTTTCCAGAATTCCATCATTTCACAGCCAGAATCCCAGGGCTTTATTAAGGAGAAGTGATCCTGGCAGACTGTTTTCGGTTCTGGATGTCTGTAGAATTGGGACTTCTATGTTTTGCTGCCGTTTCAGTGAATCGTGTTGGAAATTTGGAAGGAGGAAATACGTTGGATTTAATTTTCATTTTGAGAGAGATTCTTTCTTTATCACGTGGGGCAAAGATCCCCCTGTCAGCGTAAAAGGAACATTTACATTTTCTGCCCCCGAAGCAGCAAGGGCTGGGTTCATAATTGAGTTTGCATTTGTTTTCCTGCACTCTGATGCCTTTCTAAAGCACGTCACGGGGCAAAAGGGACTAATGATGGATAATTGGAATCCATCCCTGTGAGGCCTCCCAGCACTGCCATTTTACACACAGTAAAATTTCATAGAGCAAACACAGCTGAGAGGAGTTCCTTTGAGTACTAACACAAAACAAGCAATAAAACCCCTCCTTCGCTCTGGCCGTGCTTCTTTTTGCTGCCTGTATAAGCAAAAAATATATTGAATATTTCAAATTAATATCCCACAGGATGAGTCAAGATTTCTCTCAGCATAGAGGAGGATCCAGAGGATCCATTGTGTTGAGTCCTGAAGCTCCCACAGAAAGTAAATATTTACATGACAGAGCAGCAAAATCTTCCAACAACTACACGGGGAAAAATGTAGGAAAACAAGGGAATTACCAGCTCCCTGAAGCAGCAGATATTGACAGCTGTGGTTAGAGGCATTTCCATCCCTGACCTGTTGGCTCATGCACTGTCACCTGGGTACAAACTGCTTCTCACTGACCTGCACTCAACACTTCTGTAAAAGGAACCACAAACCCAACCCAAATCTGCATTAGCAGCGTTTGATTTCACTTGGAAAGAAAAGCAGATTTCTCTTCTTGTTCCCCCTCCAGGGCTATTTCCCCCCTCCATGGTGATGTTTTTGCCATAAAACTGGCTGTGTCATCCTTGCCATGAGCCAGGGACATCTTCCACTACCCCAGGATGTTCCAAGCCCCTTCCAACCCACCCTTGGACATTTCCTCACTTCTGCATAAACATATCTACATGGTTTAAACTTACTCTTATTTAAGTACTTGTAAATAACACGCGTGGTCTAAGCTGGAGCAGGTGACACAGGGATGTCTCCAGGGGGTTCGGGATGTTTCCAGGCAGGGAGGCTCCACACCTGCCCAGGTGGCAGAGAGAAGCTCCTCCTCACGTTGAGGTGATATTTCCATGGATTGGTGAGGTCTCCTTTCAGGTGAGATATTTGCGTGGCTATTTGACATATTTGTGTGGGTGGATGAGATATTTGTGTGGACTGATGAGCTCCCCCCCCCCAGATGAGATATTTGTATCGATATTGGAGATCTCCGTATGGATCGATGAGGCCCCCTTTGAGCTGAGGTATTTGTACGGATATTTCTGTGGATGGGTGAGATCCCCTTTGAGTTTCTCTGGACTGAACAGGCCCTAACCAGCCTCTCTACCAGGGATGCTCCGTGTCCCACAGCACTGAGGGGACAGGGGAGGCCATGACGGTCCCGCCCCCTCAGGGCGCGGCCCCTTTAAGGCGCGGCCGGTCACGTGACGGCGGGCGGCACGTGCTCCCGGCGCCAACATGGCGGCGCCCAGCGGGGCCGCGCGCTGGGTGTTCCTGCTGCTGGGAATGGGAATGGGAACAGGAACAGGAACGGGCACTGCGGGGGCTGCCGGCGCCGGGAGCTGCGGCTGCGGCGCCGGCCGGGCCGCCGGGGACGGGCGGGAGCTGGCGGCGCGGCGCTACTCGGCGGCAGCAGCGGCGGCGGCTGCGGGCGGCGGGCGGAGCGGCGGGCACGGGCCGGTGAGCGGGGGCCCCGCCAGGGGCGGGGGAGGTCCCCCGGCGGGCGGTGAGGGTCCCGCCAGGGGCAGGGAGGGTCCCGCCAGGGGCAGGGAGGGTCCCACCAGGGGCAGGGAGGGTCCCAGCGGGCGGGGCGGTCCCCGAGCCTCGGGGGGGTCCCGGCGCCCTGAGGGGTCGGTCCGGCGGGCGGGGCGCTCGGGGATAACGGAGCAGCCCCAGAACCGCTCGAGGAGAAGAAAAAGCAAAGCCGGTTCGCGGCTCGCACGGGAAGCAGCGTGGGGCAGGTGCCTGTGCTGGCCCCGGCTCGCTTTTCCCTGCCGGAGAGCTCCGTCGGGTCCCGCAGCCCTCGGGCCCCGCTGGGGATGGGGGGCCGTGCCTGTGCCCTGCCCCGGTCCCCCCGCCCCTCCCGGGATGAATGCGATGTGACGGCGCCGGTCCGGCTGTTCTTCTCGCCCCTCTGTTCTGGCGGGGCCGGGGAACACCGGGAACAGCAGTGCCAGTGCTGCCCTGCCTGGGGTCCGTGTCACCGGTGCACGTTTTGTGTAACAAACCCGAGCAGTTCGCTGGGGGGTGGAGGATGAAAAAACAATTTGATTTCATGCGGCTGGCAACTGCAGCACTGGGCAATTAAAGCTAATTACTGCTGGTGTAGGTTATGCTCAGAACATAACCTGATGATGTTCAGCTGTGAAGCCTCCTTCCCAGCAGGGAAGTGAGGGGAGAATTGGGCTCTGCCTCACCCACAAGTGGGATTAGTTATTCCCATTGGGCTTTAGAACTGGGAGTTAATTTTGCCATGGGTTTAGACCTGAGCTCTCAAGCTGAAGGTTGCTTCAGGGAGTTGTGGCTGCAGTGGTTGAAGAGGAGCGTGAAGGGAGAAAGGAAATGGTGCAACTTTGCACCGCGTTGTCATTTCCTAAGCCCTAAAAAGTGTAACCAAATTCATCCTGAAGTCCCTTTATAGATTCAGTTACAGACAATCTTTAAGGGCTCGGGTTCTTCTTAGGGGAGAAAGTTCTGAGGGTGCAGCAGGAGGAGAGATCTGTAGTGGAGAAGAAACAATGAAATGGGGTGTGTAAGGTCACATCAAATCCTGCAGCTGCCCTGAAGAACGGGGAGAGGTGCTGGGTGGGATGGAATGAGCTTATTTACTGCTCTTGTTTCAGTAAATGAGCCTGTTTACTGCTCCTTCGTGGTGTAACTGCAGGAACAACAGCAAACTGCAGCATGAAAACCAGTGAACGTGTTTCTCCTCATGGGAGCACCGGGCATTGCCCAGATTTCATGTGCAGAGAGCTGCAAATGGAGGGTTGTTCTCAATTCAAGCTCCACGTGCTCCTTCCCCCAAACAGGGGCTGGTCAAGGAGCTGTTTTGTTGTGCTGTTTGGCAGTGAAACCGCTCAGAACAAACACTCCTGCAGAGATGAGGAGGAGGAGCAGCAAGAGCAGTGTGAGGCTTCTCAGGTTTGGATTTTCACGGCCTCTCGGGTGGTGTTTGCCCTGCAGATGGTGGCGATTCCAGGAGGGGTGTTCACCATGGGCACCCAGGAGCCTGCAATCCAGCAGGACGGGGAGGGCCCTGCCAGGAGAGTCCACCTGAAGGGTTTCTACATGGACCAGTACGAGGTCAGCAACAAGCACTTCGAGCGGTTTGTGAACGCCACGGGCTACGTCACTGAGGTGAGGCACGGGGGGCTGCAGGCTCTGCCCTCTGCTCTGTGCTCACAAAACCCTCCTGAAAAACTCAGGGCTTTCTTTTGAAGGATGTCACAGTGGTGCTGGGGGTTTGTGTACTCAAACATTCCTGCTGGAAGTAGTGGAGACAAGGAATGGTCTTGCCTTGCTGCCCTGGTGGGAGGGCATCAGGTCAATGTTATCTTGAATAAGTGTCTGGACACCTGAATTCACGTCTCTCCTGCAGCCTGGCTGATGCCAGCAGGTCTCTGCAGGGTGTTTTGGGTTGGTTTGCTTGGGTTTTTTGTTTGTACCAGTAGAGCTAGGTTAGGTTTTCCTCATTTCAGAGGAACAGGGAGGAGGGATTTACCAAATTGTGATGGCCAAGGACCCTGCAGGGTGGGTCAGTGCAGCTGAGGGCAGAGAGCCCTGTGCCTGAGGAGAGAACAGCAAGTGTAATTACAGTTTTGTGCACGTTTCTGGGAACAATGGACTAGGAATATCTTAAGGTTCTTCCCAGAAAGAAGCCCCCTGTGCCTGGAGCTCTGATCCCTCCTGACAGTGACTGTTCCCACGCAACTCTGACAGCCCTTTCAGGCAAACAGAGCCTCGTAATGAGCAGGTCTCAGAGGAGGCACTTTGGGACTTCACTCGATAAACTGGTTCTCATTTGGAAGTCAGGATCCTTCTGGTTGGGTGAAGGGCTTTTTTGTCTCTATTTCTGTTCCTCAGCTCGGTTATTACAGAAAAAGGTTGCTGAACTATTTGGAACTGGGTTTGCTTTTTGCAAACTGGGATGAGCAGGTGGGGGTGGTGTTTAAATGTGGAATCACAGGATGTCCTGAACTGGAAGGGCCCACAGAGATCATCAAAGTCCAACTCCTGGCCCTGCAAAGACACCCCAACAATCCCACCCTGTCCCTGAGAGTGTTGTCCAAGCACTCCTTGAGCTCTGGCAGGTAGAACTGCCAGATAAAAGATTATGCTCCTGTGCTAAAATTTCTTGTAATTTGGGTGGTAAATGGGATCCTCCTTTCAAACTGTGCTTCTTGAAGAGTTCTGGGTGTGCAGAAACAGCTCATGAGGATCATCCTCATTCTTTAAATACCTAAAATAAGATGAAGAAATTGAGAAGGGCAGATCTGTTCAATTCTCATAACATGTTTTACTTGCCAGGTGTATCAATTCACTCAGGATTTTTTGGTATCAGGTACTGTGATTCCTTTAAGTTATTGGTGTTTTTCAGTCTTTTGGCTTTATGTCATGCTGGATATAATGACTGAGTTACTTTTAACTCTTCTGTTGCTGCAGCAGCACTTTAAAACATTGGTGAAGATGCAGTAAATGACAAGGCTTGTCTTTTATTGTGATTCCCAAAGGGAAAATAAGAGAAGTGAAATGTGAATTGAATGTTAGATTACTGACTGGAGCATTTGAAAGCAGGTGGGACAATTGGAACTGCATTTTTAATTAACAAGAGGAAATACATGTGCAGAAGCTCTGTGAGCTTCCATCTGCCCAGGGGCTGCTGAACAACAACATCCAGGGATAAAATCCCTTCTCTTCTGTTCCAAAAGAGCTTCCTTGAAAGAGAACTCGAAATCACTGTTAGAATGTCCTTGTTCTTGATAAAACAGAGCTGTAAATGTGAGTGGGGTTTTTAGAATAACCTTCCTTTGATGACATAATGGCTGAATTCTTTGTTCTTTCCACAGGCAGAAAAATTTGGAGACTCCTTTGTGTTTGAGGGAATGCTGAGTGAAGCAGTGAAGGCTGACATCCACCAAGCAGTGAGTAACACGGCAGGGGAACCTTCCTGAGCCACCCCTGGGCTGGGGGTGTCAGGAATTACCCAGTGCTACCTGACTTGTGTGATGTCCCCAAAGGCCTGGGTCTGTGAGACTCCTTATGCTGTGAATGGCTGCAGCTGATGGTGCTCCCTCCATCTCTGTAGCAGATCCCATGAGCATTTCCTGCTGTTTCAGCTCCCCTCACCCCACTGGGCCCACCCTGTGGTCCTGGTGGGGCAGTGCTGGTTTCACTGGAGCTGACACCACTCTTCTTGCTGAGTGGAAGTGAATGTTGGTTTTAAATAAAAGAAAGTTCAGTAGTAAATCTTGCCTGCCCTCCCTTTCCTCGCCCTCTGCTGTGAATGTGCTGCTGAGCCTTTCTCAGGCTTCATTTACCTCCTCCTGGACAGGGCAGGTGACCTTTACAGCTCCTGGGAATTAAGCAGATTGTGTCTTGTCACCTCCTGGGTGAACTGATCTGCTTTGAGCACAGGTTTGGATAAAATGACCTCCTGAGGTCCCTTCCCATCGGAATTACCCTCAACTCTGATGCAAACAGTTTGGTTTTGGCCTCTGAGGTGCAGACTGAGAGATGGGAGGTTTTAGGGAGCCCTGTGAGTGAGTGGGACTGGCAAAAATGGGGGTTTGGGTTCCTCCTGCAAGGAAAGGGAGATTACAAGTGCAGTTTGTTCCTTTTAATTCAGGACTAACATTTGTGGGCTGTAGAGATAAGAAGAGCAAATTGGAGCTCCCAATACTGGTGCAACTGATGCTGGAGGTGGAATAAATTCAGATTGGCTCACCCCATCTTCACAACAGCTCCAACACTCTTGGAGAAATTATTTTTCCTGTGTTGTTGTGTGCTGCAGAAATCCCTAAATCAGGCTCTCTCGTCTTAAAACAAACAAACACACCTCAGGAATGCTTGTGTAAGCTCAGCCTTGGCTATTTGTGTAAACACAGAGTGTTGGGAGCCACTTTCCTGGGTGTGTCAGCCAAATTTCCAAGTGCTGGCTGCAGTGCTCGCAGGACGAGGGTTGTGCCAGGGGCCTGGAATGGAGCCCAGGTGGGTCTTTATGGCTGCTGCTTTGGGAAGGTTTTCTGGGGTGCTTGGAGCTCTGAACTCCTTCAATCACAGCTATCACCATGAAAAGATACAAATGCTGGTGTGTAGTGACACCGACACTGAAAATCCCCCAGTCTGAGGGGGAAAGGTTTGTGTTCCTCCCCTGCCTCAGGGGCTCAGAAGTGATTTGAGAAGGATTTCCTCCAGCTGAAGCACAGGGGTGCAAACTGCAGATGTGAACACGGGGGAATGTGCATTTTGGAAGCAGTGAAGGAGTTGGGCAAAGGTGGAAGTGAAGACCCCGAACTAAATAATTTATCAAGCTCCTCTAAATAACGAGCCACGTGTGTCTGTTGGGGTTTTGATCTCTGTCTTCTGCGGTTCCTAAACCAGACAGAATTATCACAGAGCCCCAGGACGGCTGAATTAGAGAGGTGGGGCTGGGAAAGCTGGGCAGGAGCAGCCCAGCTCAGCACGTAGGAGGATTGTTGGAGCTGTGGGTGTGCCTTTCCTGGAGCTGAGGTGGGCTCCCAGATAGCCCGTGACAGGAATGTGGGCTGGCCTGGCCCTCCTCTGGAAGGGAAGCAGTAAAAAGGGGTGTAGCAGCCAGTGATGGAATTGTTGTAGATTTCTGGGAACTCTTAGTTTTGGCCCCTGTTTTTGTGGTGGTGACGTGGCAGGGAGGGAGAATTCAGCTCTGCACCAGGTGAGGGTGTTACTGATGGAGCTGCAACAAAGAAAATAAAAAGAGTTTAAATAAAAAGAGTGAGGGTCCTTTGAAGCCAGAATGTTTTGTGTGGGTTTAACAAGTTTTGAGAGGTTCACAGCTTAAATCCCTCACACTCAGCCTGGAGAAAAGGAGGCTCCAGAGAGACCTGAGAGCCCCTTGCAGGGCCTAAAGGGGCTCCAGGAGAGCTGGAGAGGGACTGGGGACAAGGCATGGAGGGACAGGACACAGGGAGAAAAGGCCTTAAACTGAAGGAGGGGAGGTTTAGATTAGATTTAGGAAAAAATAGTTTACTCTAAGGGTGGTGAGGCCCTGGCACAGGTTGCCCAGGGAGCTGTGGCTGCCCCACCCTGGAAGTGAACAGGAGGGCACTGGGGCTGGGCTGGAGCACCACTCTTGGCTCACTGGAGAGGAGCAGGAACGCTTTGATTCTTGCCTGGTGGGTGACAGAAACATGAATTTTTACTGAAAGGCCAAATAAATTCTGCACTGAAGGGCCCGAGAGCATCCAAATGTGTGTGCTGCATTGGCCTGGAAGGGCATGGAATTTGGGTCTGGAATGCAAGGAAATTGTTCCCTGGCAGCTCAAGCAAACACTGTTAGGGAGTTCTGATCAGTCTGGAGCTATGGGATGGCATTTCATCCCTGTTTGTGTGGAAAGCTCTGCACTGTCCTTGAGCTGGGCAGTGTTTACAGCAGTGCCTGGAACTCCAAGGACAGCCCCATCCTGAAAACAACCCAAAACATTCTGCATTTCAGCTGAGGAAGTCAAATTACTGGTGAAACAAGTGATGTTTGCAGGTAGGGCAGTGCCAGTGTGGGCAGGGGGAGCCGTTCCTTGCAGCCTCCACTGCTTCAGATATTCCCTACAGGGAGCTGGGAAGGTGGAGCTGTGGAATTGGTAATCTCTGTTTTCTTACTCCCACTGTTGGGAATTAAGCTCAGCTCTAAAGCAGGACAGGGCTGGTGCCTCAGGCTGGGGATAAATCCCTGCACACCTCCTTGTCTTAGAGCTCCTGTTCCCTTGGTATTGGGAAGAATGCCCAGCTGGAGGGCAGGTTGGGATGCTGGCTGGAAAGCAGACTTCCAGAGGTGTCTGCCTTCACCAGGAGTATCAGTTCCTCAAAAGAAGCTGCTTGGGATTCCAAAAGTTGCACTTAATGAATCTTACTGGATTTTAGCATCAGATATTTTTGGTTATTTTTCTTGGAGGGTTGAAGAGCTGTGAAGTTTTGCAGGGTCTGTATTGAGGTTCAGTGACCCTTCCCTACGCAAAGGAAAAGGTCCCTTCATAAAAGTAAAGTGCTACTTTCCAATTAAGTCTGAAATATTTTCTCTAGCTGATGACTTAAAATATATCTACTTTTTACTTTGTAGAGCTGCTGCCTCTCTTGTGTGTGCAAATTCAAACTACTGCAAAATACTGGGATTTAAGGCAAATAACATCAGTGTTCAATATTAAACAAAACCCCTTGTTGCTTTTGTTTCTGAGGGAATGAGGGAGGCCAGTAACCTTAGAAAATAAGAGTGAGAACAGACTCTTCTGTAATTAGAGCTTTGGGGGAGCTGGGACTCTTAATTGATAGAAGGAATAGCATGGGAATTGCAGCAACTTGGAAACCCAGTGGGACCATTCCATGGCTCTGGCTCGTGGCCAGAGCTGACTGGGAGGCTGGGCCAGAGCAGGGGCTGTACCTGGCTCTGCCCTCCCTGACCCCGAGCAGGGATCACAGCCACCAAAATCCTGCTGGGAATGTGGCAGCTGCCCAGAGGAGCTGCTGCTTCCCACTCCCTGAGCAGGGCTGAGCTGCTCATCCCACACCTGCAGGCAGTGTCACCTGGGCCACAGGAGAGATCTGTGGAGGGTGGAGAGACCTCTCTGCCCGGAATGTTGGAAGTTTTGAGGTTGTGGGGAAGGCTCATTAATGCTACTTAGAAAAGAGGTGTAAAATTACTTGTCCAGAGCAGCTGGATTTCCATCCCTGGAAGTGTCCAAGACCAGGTTGGACGGGGCTTGGAGCAACCTGGGCTGGTGGAAGGTGTCCCTGCCCATGGCAGGGGTGGGATGAGATGAACTTAAGGTCCCTCCCAACCCAAACCACTCTGGGATTCTGCTCGTGGCCACCTGATGTGGTTTCTGAGGGGACAGTGACAGTGGCTCACCCACTGCACAAGAATTATTTTTATTTCTTAAACTCCCTGCCCAACTAAAAATGTTCTGTTTTCTGTCGCTTCTTTCCTCTCTACTTCGTTAATCAGCTGCTCAGGGTTTAGGATCTGGCTTAGAGGAGGAAAAACTGACAGAGATTTATGTGCCTTACAAGGATAAAATAAAACCTCGTCCAAAAGTTTTATGTTCTTTACTGAATAACTAATTTTTTCTCACATCCTACCAATGACAGCAAGATGCCTCTGGAATTTAAAGATGTGCAGGGCTTAACAGCATCTGAGTCAAAGAGATGTGGTAAGTTCTGAACTGAAGGGTGTGCTTCTTTGAGAACCCACTGCTTAATAAGTGAGTCTTAAAGTCTCTTCCAGCCTTGGGCTACTTTTCACTCAAAATCTCTTTTCAGACAGTTGATTCTGAAATTGCTGAAGTTCTTACTCTGCAGTAACTTTTGCTTCTTGCAGCTGTTTATCTTGACCCAGTGTGAGGCCTTATTACATCAAAGTAGCATTAAAATGCTGAAGCACAAAAAAAAAAGATGTTTGGTCCTACATGCCTGGACAACAGCAGGAATTTGTCATTGTCTTGTGGGCCTGACTTGAGGTTAAAATGTACAGCTTTGTTATTTCAGGGGACTTGCTGCATGTTAGAAATGCTGGAGCTGGAGCCAAGAGGAGCTACTTGGTGGAGTTTATTTTTGGTAGTTTTTCTAATACATAAATCTGATTTGAATTGGAGATTTGGAGCTCAAGTGGGGGTTGTTTTTCTCGAACGTGGCCAGTGCCGTGTCAGTACAAGACTAATACTTGTTTTTATGGTTCTTGGTGGGGGTTTGGGTGGCTTTTTAAGGGTATTCCCCTCTGCAGTACCAGTTAATGGGGTGATACGGAGGATGAAACTCCCTTTGTCACGTTCCCACCTTTTGTTTCTCTTCTGCACATATTTAGGAAGAAATTTTCCTCAAGACAATTGTAAAGCAGTTTAAAAAACTTGAAATCACAAGTTAATGGAGCAATTAAAGTTAGGCTATCCCAGCCTACTTGGAAAAGAAAATGGAATACTCAGAACCTGGGATTTCATGCAGGTTGCTGGTGGGAGGAGAGGCTTCAGCTCTGCAAATTGCAGAGCTCGTGGGTCGGAATTAACTGCAGATCTTCCCAGTGTTATCACTGGGCTCCCTTTCCACAGGCTGTGATAAGCAGAACAGTGAGTTCTGAAAGTTTAATCCTGGGGCAGGGAGGTGGATAATCCACGTTTTCCCCTGGATCAGGCCAAACCAAGCCCTCTGTGCCTCTGCACTGGGCTTTGCTCCTGGAAACACCTCCCTGTGAAGGACCAGCTGTGGCAGGGCTGCAGGGCAGGTGTGCTTAACCTGGGACAGGTGCCAGGCTGTAAGAGAGGACCAAAATAAAGGGAATTGTCCTGGAATTTGGGATCTCTGCTGCTGTTTTGCCAGGAGGAATCTGCTGCCCAGGGCACAGAGCATGTTCTGGAGGGAAGCAGGAGAACACGGACTGTTATGGAAGTAACTAAGCTCATTAGTGGCAAGGGAGGGCTTTGCTGCATTAACTGTGATGTTGTAATATCTCTGCCTAATTACCTCCTCTGCTAATTAGATTTAGAGCAATTAAAAGCTCTAAAGACTTGTGAGAAGTTCTGGGAAAGGGCTGTAGTTTCAGGTACGGGACTTGTGGAAGGAGCAGCTCGGGGTGGGTGTTCACCAGAGCCGGGGGCTGACTTGGAGAAGCTTCCAATTAATTTCTGGGGGTGATCCCTGTCCTGGTGGTGGCTGTGTCACTCCTGGAGGATGTGGGTGTTCTGCAGAGCCTGGCAGCCATTTGGAGCTCCGTTCAGCAGCCCCAGGAGCTGTGCACACACAGTGCTCTCATGCGGAGCCGCCGCGTTTTCCTCGGTTTAAAATAAACCATTCTGATTGAAAGCATCTGCTTTTGCTTTTGCATCACAAAAATGTTTTCCAAAATTCAAGTCTTCTCAAGTGTAAATCTTTGCAGTCTCCTGCAGAGATGTTTTTATCCAAAAGCCAGCAGTTTAATTTGCAAAAATGTGTTGTGCTTAGAAACTATCAGGATGAAATCTTGCTCGTGATCTTTCAGATTTTATCTTTAGCAAATGTTCTGCTGCTCTTTTGCTTTCCTTAAGGAGCTTTAAAATGCTAATTTTGGATTTCTGTCCTATCTTGAGTATCATATAAAGGTCAAACCTCAAAATAGGCAAGGAATTGGTTAAATCAGACTGGTTTAAAACCTACTGGCTGTAATGTCAGTTTAGCAGCCAGGTCACTCTGGAGCTTTAGTGCTGGGAGAGTGGAGCTGAGCAGCTGAATGAAGGTCCCAGTTTGGGGGTTTGAATGCTCAGTAACAGGCTGTAGTTCATAGTAAGAGACCAAATATTTCTCATGCTCTTTACCAAGGGCAGGGACTCTGCTCATGGCGAGAAGGAGCCAGGATTGTGGCTGATGTTGTTAATTTAAGGACTTGTCCTGTTGGGGAAGTCAGAAAGGGTCTTTAAAAACTGGCATTATTTTGGTTGTTTGCCTGGAGGGTCCCACTGAGTACATGGCCAGACCATCTGGGTCATCAGCAAGCTGAGAGCATCTTTATTTCTGTGGTTCTTAACACTCCTCTCCACTCCTTTGGGAGGGGGAGAGTCCGAACCCCTGCGTGGATGGTCCTGCAGCCTCTGGGGGATGCAGAGCTCTTCCCCAGGGCTCCCAAGGGCTCTGCAGCTGAGCTGAAGCAGCAGCTCTGCAGCTTTAGTCCAGGAGTGCTGGTGATTTACAGCGAGGTTTCCCATACCCAGATGTGCTGCAGGCAAAATCCTGCGTGCTGAGGGGAGAGGAGGGAAGCTGTGGAGGAGCTGTTACAGCACAGGCCGAGCAGATGCTTTAAAAACAGAATAATTTGTGTTTGTGCATTGGCAGCACCTCTGTTGCTTGGGCACTTCTGTTTATTCTCCTACTGAAAGATTCAAATGAGGCATTTCATGATGAGTTTGGACCGGGGTTTTCTTAACGATTTATGTGTGTCATAGACATTTTTCTCTCTCACACATGTTCAGTGCCCTTCCCCGGTGAGGGGTGCAGGTTCTTCCCCTTAGAAGTTGCTGTTAAAATTGTGTGACCTGCCTGACTCTGGGTCTCCTGAGTGACTCCCCAGCTCACAGTGACTTTTTGGACTTTCCTCTGAAGGATTTGAGGAGTTCAAGGATAACACTCTTGGCACAGTTCCAGTCTGTGTGAGTGACACTTGACCAAGTTGGTTTAGCAGCACAATGAAGAGAAAGGGATGTTTTAGTGCTCCCTTTGCCATGTGTGAGTGGGGGAAGCTGAGGGGCAGCAGAAGTTGCTGGAGGGTGTTCTAGAGCCAGGGTTGGAGGAACACCTGGATCTCAAGTCTAGGACTGAGCTGTTTAACTCCTGAAGCAGTCCAGGTTGTTTCCTTTGGTTTTTGTTCTGTACAGACTTTATCTTTGCAACAGGAGTATTTTGGAAGTGAGCACTTCTGCTGCTGGAATAAACCCACTGCTGATGAGCAGCATAAGTGTTCTTTTCTTTGCCTCAGTGAAAGGCCCCATTATTAAGATAAGTATTTATAAGTGAATGGGAAGCAGAACAGTTAAGCACCTCTCTGCTTTGAAGTAAGCTTAATAGAAGAAATCCTTAAGGAATGTCTTCCAGGAAAAACTCCTTGCTATTGAAGAACCAAATTTGGGACTTTGGGTTAGAAGTACTGCATTGTTACAGAGGGTTTTGCCTGTGTGAAGAAAACAGAAAAGAGCCTTCATGCTTCACTTCCCTTGTGTGGTTCTTCTGTCTCCACCTTCTGGAAGCTGAGAGCAAATAATTTCAAATCAGCTTTAGTGGGTTAATGACCTGGAAAGCAAATGTGTCACGAGCTGAGAGTTCTGACCCTGCTTAAAGGGCATGGTCGGGGGGTTGGTTCAGCTGTGCCAGAGCTCTGAGTTTGGGGAGCAAATAATTGGGATGAAAATGCTCTTCAAGCTGAAGTTGTCAGGTTTTTTGTGGTCTCTGTGGAATGTGTCAAGGGAGGCAGGAGGTTTGAGTCACACAGTGCAGACGGGTTTGGGTTGGAAGGGAACTTAAAGCCCATCCAGTGCCACCCCTGCCATGGGCAGGGACACCTTCCACCAGCCCAGGGTGCTCCAAGCCCCGTCCAACCTGGCCTTGGACACTCCCAGGGATGGGGAAGCCACCACCTCTTCCCTGTGCATTCTCCTCCCTCCTCAGGTTGCAGCTGCTCCCTGGTGGTTGCCTGTGAAAGGAGCCAACTGGAAGCATCCCGAGGGTCCTGACTCCAGTATCTCCAGCAGGTAAGCCAAGAACAGCCATTCAGTGCTTGTAGAGACACCTGGAACTCCCACCAGCAATGGGGGTGCAAGAGAGGGGTTTATTTAGTTATCAGTTTGCTGCTGCTTCTGGGGCTCTCTGCCCATTTCCTGGTGAGTTGCAGGCAATATTCCACGGTCATTTGGCCAGTCCTGTAGGAGGATTTCAGCAAGGTCTGTAAGGAGTTTGCACCCAAGGCAAGATTTGTACACCAGCAGTGAAACAGCAGATCCTTAGAGGTCAGAAACTTCAGTGCAGGTGAAGTTCCAGATAGGAAGAATAAACTACTGGCTGCACACACACTCCAGGAGTCCACGGGGGTGTCCTCTTCCATGGGGGGTTTGGAGCCTCTTTGTGGCAGCAGAAGACTGAAGAGTTTTGTGCTTTTTACTGTACTCTGACTTTATGGACTAATTATTGTGGAAAATCAGTTGAGACTTTATCCAGAACCTCTGAATGCTTTGGAAGACTTGCACTTTTGCTCAGCAGGGAGTGCTCTTACAGTCAGTGCCACGCTTTGCCTGCATGAACCCTGGCACCTGCTGATCCCTGTCTCTGTGCATCCCTTTCCCTTCTGAACTGGCATGAATTTTAGGCCTAGAAAATAAAATTACTGTCTTCATTTGGGACCTCTGACACTGCAACTGCTCCTCTCACTAGGCAGGTGTCAATGAAGCTGGAACTTCATCAACTAGTTAAAGTTTGTCACAGCAGTTTTGAAATGAAATCAGACTCTCTAGCCTAGATCTGGTGTGTTTTTGAGTCCTCTAAGGACAGGGCTATGTTAGTGCACCATCATCTGATGGCTGAACTGCTCAGTAACGAGTCCGGTGTCTGATCTCCAAGGGCAAGGGAAGAATTATCTGAGGCAAAAATAGAGATAATAGCTGGAGGCATTGTTGGGGGGAGCCAGGAATTGAGGTCAGAGCCAGCAGACAGGAGCTGGAAACCTGCCATGGAAATCTGGTCTTGGGCAAGTGTGGTGCAATCCTGGCCTGGCACAGCCCCTGTGAACTTGCACATGGAAATGGCCTCATGGATTAACAGGGATACTCTGGCTTCCTAAACGGGGCAGGGGGGAGAAGTTAACAACAAGTCCTGTCCCCTAGGGCAGCACCCTCCGTTCTGGAAGTGTCTCGGGCTATCAGGGGCTTGCATGGGGAGGATCCTCCTGCAGGTGGCTTTAACTGCAGAGCACGATGAGACAAACAGGAGTTTGTTCTTTTCTCTTCCTTGTTTTCCTCTCTTGCTGCCGTCCCTTAAGTTCCCATCCTGTCAAAGCCCTCTGGTGCCTCGTGCAGCTGTCCCTGAGCTGTGACCTTGTCACCCCTGCGTGCCCACGGTGAGTGCTGTGCCGTGCAGCTCTGACAGCCCCGCTCTCCTGAGCAGCTTGTCCTGTTCCTTTTGCCTCCCAGGATGGATCACCCAGTTCTCCACGTGTCCTGGAATGATGCTGTGGCTTTCTGCACGTGGGCAGGGAAGCGGTTACCCACGGAGGCAGAGTGGGAGTACAGCTGTCGAGGGGGCCTGGAAAACAGGTACCTGTCATGGTGTGTCCCTCAGCTGTTCTGAGGGGGGGGGCTGTTCTGAGAAAAGGGGGCTTTTCTGCTTAAGGAAGAGTTCTGGGGGGTTTTATTACCCTCAGGGTCTCTTCCTTGTGCAGTGATGCACAGAGGTGAGAAATATCCCAGCCACAGGTGTGGATTGGGTGGAGGAGGGACTGAGAGCAGCCCTGGGGGGAAGAAATTTGTGGGTTTGTGGATAAAAAGCTCAATAGGACTCAGCAAAGTGCTGAGTCACAGCCCCAAAACCCCCCATGTGCTGGTCCCACAGCGAGGGCAGCAGGAGAGGGGGATTCTGCTCCTCTGTTCAGGTGAGACCCCCCTGCAGCTGCCTCCAGCTCTGGGGCCCAGCACAGGAGGGACAGGGAGTCCAGAGGAGGCCCCGGAGCTGCTCCCAGGGCTGGATCCCTCTGCTCTGGAGCCAGGCTGGGAGAGCTGGGGGTTCACCTGGAGAAGAGAAGGCTCCAGGGCGACCTAAGAGCCCCTGGCAGGGCCTGAAGGGGCTCCAGCAGAGCTGGAGAGGGACTGGGGACAAGGCATGGAGGGACAGGACACAGGGAATGGCTTCCCAGTGCCAAAGGGCAGGGAGAGATGGGATATTGGGAAGGAATTCTTGGCTGTGAGGGTGGGCAGGCCCTGGCACAGGGTGCCCAGAGAAGCTGTGGCTGCCCCTGGAGCCCTGGAAGTGTCCAAGGCCAGGTTGGATGGGGCTTGGAGCACCCTGGGCTGGTGGTTGTCCCTGCCCATGGCAGGGGTGGGACTGGATGGGCTTTGAGGTCCCTCCCAACCCAGGCCATCCTGGGATTCTGTATTATCTCAGTTTTAATCCACAGTGTTTACAGCTGCTCTGTGTCCCTGCAGGCTGTTCCCATGGGGTAACAAGCTGCAGCCCAAGGGTCAGCACTTCGCCAACATCTGGCAGGGGGAGTTCCCGACCAACAACACTGCCGAGGATGGGTACAAGGGCACTGCACCTGTAAGTGTCTCACAGCCAGTTCAGCACCTGCAAATGAACCCCATCTGCCTCAAGGGAAGCTCTGTGTCCCCATGAGCCGTGGCTGTTCCACCCCTGCGCTCTTTCACTTGAGACTTTGAGTTACTCTGTATTTCACTGCAGGCTTAAGCATTACCAAGGGACACTGTCACAGGCTAATTGAAAAGTAAAGATCACTTTCATTTTAACTTCTAGTTCCTCTCAAACTGACCTCTTTTCCCTCTTTCCACTCAGTTTTTAGGCAGAAGCTGAAATACTTTCTGCCTGAACTTCTGGCATTACACTCTTGTGAACTCCAAAATCACGCAACAGTTTGGAAGAAATTAAACTTCCCTTTCTGGGGGAGGTTTAGGCTGTCTAGTAAACAAACAGAGTGGAATTTTAAAGGCAATAAGTCCAAAAGTTTCCTCAGCATAGAAGTCTGCTGAGGAAGAGGATGAGTGGGCAGCCACCCTGCTTTCCTTTGGTGGGAAGGGGAAGCTGGAAGGGGGGTCAGGTCACTGGTGCCATGCCCAGGTCTGTCTGCTGGTCAAACAGTGCTTCCCTGGAGAGGGTCAGTGCCCAAAACCCCCAGAAGATGCTGTGTGTCACAGAGGAACAGTGGTGTGAGGACATAGAGGGTGGTGACAGTTCATTATTCCCTTCTGTGCTCTTTAAATGGAAAATGTACAAGTGCTATAGCCCTGCCCTGCTGATTTGGTGCCTGCTGTTGAGGCAGGAGCCCCTCAGAATGCACCTTCAGCAGCCAGGTGTGAGGATTAAAACCCTTATTCCATGTTGAGTGGTCCCAGAACTGCCCTGTGCTCCGTGCCCTGCAGGTCACTGCCTTCCCTCCCAATGGCTACGGGCTGTACAACATGGTGGGCAACGCCTGGGAGTGGACGTCGGACTGGTGGGCTGTCCAGCACTCCCCTCGGGAAGTTCACAACCCTGTAAGTGTTCCACTGGCACCCTGTGAAGTACAGATGGGATTGGTTTGAAAACCTGCTGTGGCTGGGCTGTGCTCTGGGGGGTTGGGAAGTGACACCACAGCTCATCCACGCTGGAATTACAGTGCTCTAGTGCAGTGTTCTTGTTGGTTTGGGAATTCTTTGCTGTTTGTCCACGTCTCATCAGCTGTTGAAATGTCCAAACTGGCACCACATTCCATGAATCAAGGATTTCTGGAATGACTTCTTTAAAGAAAGGAAGGGTTTTAGTTCATTGGTGTTCTACCAGCTGTACTTTCACCCTGGCCAGGTGGAGAACAAACCAGGAGTTCTCTCCGTGGCTGGGGGTGTGGGGAGGAGCTGCTTACCAGGCTCTGAGCAGTCAATCTTGGGTTTCCTTTGTGGGAGGCACAGAGAGGGCCCTGCAGGCTGAGCTTTGATTTCAGTTTGATTTAAACTAGGAAGGACTGGTCTCTGATTGCTGCTGGTCACCAGTCCTAGTGGCTGAAGAGCCTCCTTTTCCTTTGGGACCGTGTGTGCAGAATTCCAGCCTTCCTTGTGACCAATCCCCCCCAAACCCCAAATGTCTCCAGTACTAGAAAGCAGCTTTGAAGATTTTGGGTGTTAGACTGAATATGTTCAAGAACTTTGCCTGAGCTCTGACCCCCTGGAAGAACTCTGAGTCTTTTCAGTGGAGAGAACACCTCCTATATTTAGGTTACACTGCCCTGTGCTCTGCAGAGACTGAAGGGATGGGCTCTGATAGATCTGGTGCTCATCAGTTCTGATGTCTCAGAAGATTCTGCAGCCTGACTATTTTGGGACACCTTTTCACAGCAGGAGATTCAGTTTTCTTACCCATTTAGTCAGAAAACCCTTTGGAATTCACTTTGAAGTGCTCTGCCTCAGACACTCGATTTTGACAATTACTTTGCAAGTGAAAAAAGTCTGAAAGCATCATTGTTAACACCCAGTTTTTAAATACTTTCTGAAGTGTCTGCACAGTGCTTTTGGTGAATTTAAAAAGCTGAGCAAACTCAGAGATTATTAAGTTTAACAGAGCAAAATTCACACAGGACTTGTTACCCAATTTCACCTTAATCCAGCACCAGGGCACTGCTGCACTGACATTATAAACACTGAAGTGTCTCACTTAAAGAAGCACTTGTAATTATGCAGTCAGACTAGATTGTGGCTGTTCCAGCATTATGCTACAGAACAAACTTGCTCATATATATATGTATATATTTAAATCTGGGATCAAAGTCCCGACAGCTCCAGCTCTTTACTTAGGACAGGAAATGTCCCTCCCCTTCAGTACCAGCTGGTGACCTCCCTGGGTCGTGCCATGAAACAATATTGTTTGATAGAAAAGATCAGCTTGTTTTAATCAAATGTGACCTAAATTGCTGTGCTGTGATTAGTGTGTGTGGGGAAGCACAACCAGGGCAGTTTTCCTTCACCTCTAAGTGAGATAATGTGTGTGAGCAAATATTAACCTTGCAAATACTCAGGGTGTTGAGTGGTTTTCTGCTCTGCAGAGAACCCTGCCAGTCTTATGATCAGCTCTTCACTTTCACTGATTTTTAAGGGATTGTTTATCACAAGAATGATGTCTTGTAATAGAACAGATTAATGGAGGACACTACATGAGATTCCTGTAGGTAGTGAAGTGTTTCAGTGCTTTAATCCTCTTTCAGAGGCTGAGGGGTCAACTGAACTTGGGGTTTGTTACCAAATAACCTTTGATGCTCAATTTTTGCCTGGTGGAAGATATTTGTAATTATTTAAAAGAGCTTATGCACTTAACCTGTCCTTTGGTTCAAGGGCTGCCTCAGTACAGGTCATCCCTTTGTAATTGCTGAAACATGAGAGACTTGGGGCTGGACAACAAACCTTCTAACCCTAAATAAACATGTTATTTAGGGTTATTTGGTTTGTGACAGTGTCTTTGGAGGCAGAAGCCCAGATTGCTGCTCAGCCTGTGCACTGCTGTGTCTGAGGGGAAATCCTGCTCCACAGCCCCATTGTTCTGCTTTGTCTTGTTCTGCTGTCACTTTTTTTTTTTTAGGTCAGTTTTCTCCTGGCTTCCCTTAAAATGAGATTAACAGGCTGGGGGCTGATTGTGCTGGTTAGTGGCTTATCTCAGAGTGAGGACTGTGCACCCACGAGCAGGAGCTGTGAGGACAATTTCCAGAGGCCTTGGAACAGGAGTAAGGCTGTCCCCGGGAGGAGCACCTGGGCTGGGGACCCAGCGGATGCTGCTCAGGGTGTGGGTTTCCTTCAGTGTTTGTAGGGTATTAAATGTGGAAATAGGCCAATTTATTTTTCACATGTGTAAATGTTGGCTATGAACATGAAGCTGCTGCAGTCTGTGTGGTGAACTTTCATGTGGAGTTCTGAAACTCAGTGTGTGCAGGCAGCAGCTTCTGTAGTACCAGCATCAACCTTCGGGGTTTTCTGTCAGTCCCTGTGACTTTTATTCAGTGTTACAAATGCTCCTCTTGTGTGGATTCTTCTAGAAATTCACCTCTGGTCTTGCAGACTTGGAAGGGAGACAACTGAGACAGGGTAGGAACCAGACTGGTCACTGAGAGAGGCTGGGGGGGGGATTTCCTTCCCAGTGAAATCCCTCTTTAGGACCCTCAGGGGTTTTACAGAATAAGGCACTCACGGGCAGCAGCTCCAGCCTTCAGTGTTGGCAGCAGTGCAGGGAGCACAGTCCTGTACAGCAGAGTGGCTTGAAGCTTTCAGCTGAAATTTGTTGGTCTGGAATGTTTATCCTGATCCCTGTCCCCGTTCCCAAGCTGTTCTCCCTTGAGCTCTGACCAGTGTCCTCCCTCCCTCCCCAGCCAGGGCCGCCCTCGGGCACGGACAGAGTGAAGAAGGGAGGATCCTACATGTGCCACAAGGTAACGTGGGGTTTGCATGGTGCTCTTTCCTCTGACAGCACTTGAGCATGAAATGATCCTCTGACAGAGATCCCTGGCAGCCTGGATGCTTGGGAAGGGATTTCATGGAAAATAGGAGGACCCAACACCTGATCTTCCCAAGGACTTCTTTTTGGTTAGCCTGGAATTCAAACAATAAGTTGTTTTACCCAGTATGGTTTTTAGATGCAGAAGTTAAAGCTGATGCAGCCTCTGGTGCTGTTCTCGTTACAGAGCTGGAGTGATGCCTGTCAGAGCAGGAAGTGAGGATGTGACTTTGTTTTCTCAGTGTTACGGTGACTCTTGATCCAGAAAGGACACAGAGCTCTGAGCACCCTGGGCCAGTGGAATGTGTCCCTGCCCATGGCAGGGGGTGGCACTGGATGGGCTTTAAGGTCCTTCCAACCCAAACCATTCTATAATTCTCTCATTCTCTGGTGTCAGGTGCTTGCAGGAAGCTGGCTGGGAGATGAATGTTCCAGCTGAGTTGATGGCACACTTGAAAATCCTTCAGAACAGCCTGGATGTCACTCCAGAGCAAAGGCTGTTCATGACACAGAATCGTGTTTTAAACTCTGTTCATGCACTGCTTAAAAAACCTCATTGTGGATCTCCTGTTTCATTAAAGCTGTCCTGCTCTTCTTCCCTTGCAAAGCCTTGCAGCTGGCAAATCACCCTCATAATTAGATTAAATTTTCTACAGTGAGATCCCATTTTCTACACTGATTTCCTTCTTAGGTGAAATCAATGTCAGATGTTAATTAGCAGTTTTGATTAAATTAACACTGGAATAGGCTCTTTAGTGATGAATAACGTGACCCATTTTCGAGGTTTGTGAAGATTCTAGTCTGCCCTAGTCCTTTTTGTAGGTGATAAAACTAGGCTGTGTTTCAAGACAAAAAAACCACTGAATACTGTTAGTACAAGGGCTCTTTATTAGGTGCCTACAATCTATTCAGACTGATCTTTCTGTGCTGTTGCTCTTCTCCCTCTTGGAGCTGACAGAGGCTAAAGTTGCACCTTTTTGCATTCCTTTCCTGAATCTGGTTTGGAGCCTGACCCCGAGCAGCTGCACCAGCCTGAATCCAAGTGCTGGCTTTTGGCAGAGGGGAGGACAGGGGCAAAAACCTGAGCCAGATCTTCTGAAGTAACAGAAAAATGGGGCAGGATTTGGATGGATTGTTCAAACTGCTACCCCAGTGCTTAATTAGTGTAATTAGCAGGGTTACTGCCCTTCCTCCCATGCCACGGTGGGGAACTGCTGCTGGGCAGCCTCACTTCATGTACCAAACCACTCACCCTGCTGATAATTAAATGATCCTAGGGATTAGAAAGATCCCTGGAGTGCCAGCTGTAGGAATACTGGAGTTTGCCTCCTGTTATCCATTTCTCTGTTGCATCAGGGAGGTGTTTTTAGGGAGGTGCCAATACCTGTCCGTTCGCAGTCAGGTGTCAGTGCATGGCACACAGCTCGGGGCTCTGAGCTGCTCTCTCCTCCTCTGAGGGGAAGCAGAATGGTTGTTGCAGCATTTTCCCAGAGAGGATATATTACTGGTTGACATTTTATTGGGCACTTTTCCATTCACACTGTATTTTTTTGTCTCAGCTGGTCAGTGGGATTCCCTTATTTCTAAGGCAGTGATTTCCATCCCTATCAGCTCATCGATCTGTCCCACAGTGATTGCAGTGCTCTGCTGTAGTAATCTAATTAATCTATTAACCCAACAAAGCTGAGGCAGCCCCAGCTGTGTGTGAAGCTCACTGTCCCTTGCCCTGCAGTCCTACTGCTACAGGTACCGCTGTGCAGCCCGGAGCCAGAACACCCCCGACAGCTCCGCGTCCAACCTGGGCTTCCGCTGCGCCTCCGACACCCCCCCAGAGCCACAGTGACCTCCTGCCGTTCCACGGGCTCAGGAACAGCTGCACTGCACCCAGGGAACCAGGGATGACGGCAGTGTCACGTGCTGAGGGCACACAACAGAAACATCTACTGCCTAAAGCTCCTGCTGGGGGGAGGAAAATCCAACACTACTCAGCGTTGCTTGGAGAAGCTTCGTGTTCGTGGGGACCTGGCCTGGACTCAGATCCTGACCAAACTCAGCAGCTGGTTTTGGCAAGAGTGTTTTGGGTTCAACTGGAACAAAACTGTTTTCAAAGGCTACTTAATACAGGTTGGAAAAGACCCCCAAGACCAGAGTCCAACCTGTGACCAGTCCCCACCTCATCACCCAGACCAGCTCCTTTAGCAAAGATCTTTCCTAATTGCTTTTATTTATGTAGAGTTTGAGTTTCTGCACTCACATGCAATAAACAGGGACTTTATAAAGTTCTAGGCAGCTTTAAAAGAAATTTGAGGCAGTTGAGAAATTCTAGGCAGCTTTAAAAGCCAGTGAAGGAGTCAAGAGTGAGGCCTGGGAGATGACACCTCTCCCGGGGGCAGCTCCCACAGCCCTTTGTTACACTCCTGTGCAGTGAAAACTGGGTCAGCAATGGGCTGTTCTGGTGGGATTTGCTGCTCTTTAGGAAGTGCCTTCTGCAGCTGGGGGGTGATGATCCTCAGGGTGATGATGATTAGCAATCTTGTCCATGTTTCAATAAAATGTCAGGCATTTGTTTATGCTGAGGACTCTTATTGGTGGAAAAGCAGCCATTTCCTTTGAATGTCTTGGACACAGGGAGCTTGTTTTGGGGACTTGGGAATTGCAGAACTGACCTCATTAGAAACTGAAGCTCCTGAATGCTTCCACTTGAACAGAAGTCACCAAAGTGAAAAAATGGCAGATGGAACTGTGAGCCCCAAGGCCTCACAGGGTAAATTTTGAAACTGTTTGTTGGGGAAAACAAACAAAAATACAACAACAAACAAAATAAAAAAAAACCAAACAAAAACCAACCCAAACAAACCAAAACAAACAAAAAAAAACCCTAACCAAACCACTGAAAAGGAGAGGAATTTTAACCAGGAATAAGGGAAATGGGAATAATTGAAAGCCACCTCGTTTTGGGATCTGAGTGTGACGGTGGATTAACAAGAACCTTTGCACTGGTGTTGGTCCTTGCCAGCATTGTCTGTTCTGTAGTAAACTGGGTTTGGGTTTAACCCCACCTGGGTCAATGCAAATCCATCACTTCCTGCTGCTTCTCCACTTGTTTATGTTGAAAGGAAGACCCAGGAGAGCATCTGGGAACCCTTCAACAAGCACCAGCCTCCAGGGGGGCTCCAGGTAAGTCCAGCAAGCAGAAAAATCTATTCCAGAACACACCATGGCTGGGCACAATATTGAAATATGGATCATTGTTACTGCACTCTGAGAGCAGGAAGGAGGAGGGAGGATTAGAGGGAGCTCAGAGGCTTTTGAGCTGCTTGGATTCCTTGGGGAAGAGCACAGAACTGTGAGGGGCAGATTGGGACTGTGAAGCTGAAGGAACCCAAAGGAAAAAGTGAACAGAAATTCAGCAGATACAACAAAAGGTCCTAATTTCTTGCTGGTTTCACGTTGGGGAATTTTTCTGGTAGGATTTTGGTCTGCTCCCCAGGCAGCTGCAGTGCTAAGGCATGGCAAGGCATAATGGGAAAAGACCAGGATGGTTTAGAACTCAGTAACAACGTATTATTTTGGTTTTGCAAGGCCTTTAGCGTGGCTGTTTTGAACAGTACAGCTCTGTTGCTGTTGTTGCGTGCTGTGGGAAGTTTGTTCTGACCAGATAACTGCTATCAGATCACTGGCAGCAGCTGAGGGGTAGGATTGCAGGGACAGGGCTCAGCGGAGTTCTCTGGTGGAAGGCTGGTGATCAGGGACTAGATATTGCTGAAGGTGGTGTGTTTCTTTTTTAATTTACACTTCCTTAACTACTCAGAATCACGCCAAGTGTGTATCCATAACAGGAAGGTAACAAACCGTGCCCTCAGCCTGAGCACCAGCAGTGCAGATGCTGTAAAACTCATCTTGAAACCCTTCCCAGGAGGGGAAGAGGAAGCAGATTGGATCATCTGCTCCCAGCCCTGTGCTCTCAAAGTGCATGGGTGGCTGGCACGATGCCTTTGGGGGAGAAAACCAGAGGAGCCTCTAAACAGGACAAGGGGCCTTGCAGTCCAGGCTGTGCTCTGGTACCTGGTGCATTCCGAGGTGTGGGATCCGAGGGCTCGTGTCCTGTAGCAGCAGGAGCCCTTTGTCAGGAATGGCCACTCAGCTTGGAAAGTGCCTGAGACAAGCAGCTGAATTCCTTGGAAGGTTTCTGTGCTGACAGAAGTGACACTTATCACGTGGTTTCTCTTAGGGTTAAGGATTATCTGAACATAAACCCACATGCAGGTGTAAATCCCGGGAGCAGCACGAAGGCACTGAGGTGGGGAGAAGCCAAGACTGCTGCTTTATGGAGGAAACACAAGCAATAGACACCAAGTAAGACTTTGTTTAGCAAATAGCAAAAGAATAGCAGCCAATTGCCCTTCATCCCTTGTCAGTGTCAGGTTAATCACAGAATGGTTTGGGTTGGAAGGAACTTAAAAGCTCATCTTGTTCCAGCCCCCTTTCCCAGGGCAGGAAACCTTCCTCTAGACCAGGCTGCTCCAAGCCCTGTCCCTGGATTAATCTGATCATATTTTAATTGGAAAGTAAATCTCCAAATGAGTGACTTTTGAAATACTGATAATCATCACTGCACTTTGAGAGGGTAACACAGCTCCCAGTTCTGGAGCTGTTGGATTGGACTCTGAAAGTACACTCTGAGCTGGGAGTGGCAGCTCAGTCTTTCAGAGGCACCAACTTTTCAGCTCCAAATCAAAGTTGTCTTAAATTTATTTAAAAAAAAAAGGCTACTGCTGGCCTGCAGATGCACTTTTGTATTTCTACTTTCAGTCAATTGTCAGGCTCATCCTGCAGGGCCTGGATTTGCTCCCTGGGTACTGACAGTGCAGGGCAGTAAAGGGATGTGCTGCTTGCTGTTATTGCAGAGATCTGACCACAGGAGCCTCAGGGCTGATGTGATTAGAAAAGATGGGATGTTTAGCTCCTTGGAGCCTGCCCCACTTCCAGAGGGGCTAAATGGGAATGGAACAGCCAGTCACTCACAATCCAATGCTGGCATGCAGCTACGTGGGGCTGGAGGTGGGAAACGGGGACACAAAGCATAATTAGTTTAATGCAACAAAAAATGTATAGCAAGTAATTTCAAAACAATAATTTAATGGGTTTTAAGAAACCTAATGCCTTTATTGCAAATGTCAGAGTTCCCTGGTGCCATTTTCTTGTGCAAGTTTTCAGTGGCTTTTCTTGCTGTTATCACACATCCTTTCCATGTACAAGTGTTAAAGATACAAATTCTTTCTGAAAGATTCTCTCAAAGTGAGAGCTGCTTGAATAGACACCAATCTGTCAGAGGTGGTCAAGGCAAAAACACTGAGGGCTGGCTTAGTAACTGATTTTGGACCATCTTGAAGCTCCAATAATCCCTTGTATCATCCACCTTGAAAAGTCTCCAGGATGTTTCATGAAATTATTCTCAAAGCCTTCTCTTTCAGCTGCTACTCAAACCCACATGAGGTTCCTTGTTGGAACACAGAGTTTTATTTACCAGCAATTTAACTATTGGAGAAAACCCGATCTTTTAGGCAAGCCTGAGGCTGAAAGGCTATGGAGAACTGTCTGGTGTGGAGAAGAGGGAGCTGTCCCAAGGTAAGAAGGAAGCACACGTGGGGGCACCACAGTAGCAGGGCTTTCTCAGTCTGTTATCCTCCTCCAAAGGTTTGTGTTCTCCGCTGCTTCCCGATGAATTGTGGAACCGCCCAGAGTAATCGTAGCACAGCTCCTCCCCAGCAGCAATGTCCCTGGCTGCAAACAGGGCCAGTCTGGGCACCATGGAGTCCACCCGCACGGGCACCATGAACAGGTTGGGCTCGCAGGAGTGGTTCAGGAACCTGCCCACGTTCCCCACGCGCGTGGGGTCCACGAAGGTCTCCAGGACGCGCCCGTCGTGCAGGTGCTCCCTCAGTGCCATGACGTAGTTGGAGTCCTGGGGGCCCTGGGCCCGGATCCTCCTCCGCGCCTCGGCGGGGCCCAGCACCTCCCCGGCGTACTCGCAGACGAAGCTGCCCCGCGGGACGGGCTCCAGCGTGCGCACGCCCCAGCCCTTCCTGGGGGTGCGGAACACCTGCAGGCGCAGCCGCAGCCCCCGCTGCACCAGCCTGTTCTGGCACCACTCACCGCACCCGCACAGGGCGTTGCACTCGAACACGGGCCGGGCAAAGCCCTCCTGCTCTGCCCCCCGCAGGCACGGCCCGCTGTAGTTGTCCCCACGGCGCAGGCACGGGCACTCGCGGGCCACGCAGGAGCTGCTGCGGCACGAACAGCCCGCGAGGGTGATCTCGGTGGGGTCGATCTCCCCGTCTGCCCCGGCCACGCTGTCCGGGCTGTACTGCAGAGAGAGCGACAGTCAGAGCCTCGGCATCGCCATCATCGTCACCACCAGTGCTGGAAACCACAACCTGCAACAAGCATGTGCCTGGCAGCGAGTGAGCTCTGCACTGAAACCATCAACGCTTCATTTCCCTGGGAACTTCCTGACTCCAAGCCTCACCTTCTCGAAAATATTTTAAAGCTTGCAAATTCTTTATTCCCTATGGACTGAAAAATAATCGAGTCTGTCAGTGCCTGAATTCTCAAAATAAGTCTCTCAGCCAGAAAAAAAAATGCTTAGCAGAAAAAACATGTCAGCTAATTAGGTCTACTCTATATGATTTTTATTGATAAAAATATCAAATGTATTTATTTATAAATATAGATAATGTTTATACACAATACTTATAGATTTAATTATTTACAGAATTACCAAAGTATCATTATTTTCCTCCCCTTTCAAAACAATGACTACTTAGAGGGTTAGTTTATAGCTATTCTAAGCCCCAGAATTTCAAATCCCCATTTATGTGAAAAAGGAAGATGCTTTCAATTTACCTCTTCAAATTGTCACATTCAAATTTCCTCTTAATTCCGCTAGAAAATCAGGTTCTGCAGTTACACCGATGCCCCCAGCAGGTGACTGGTTACAGAACCACGGAGTGCTGGGAAATAAAACCTGGCAGACTTCGCCAAATTTGAAAGCCAAGATAAAGCGACAGCTACGTGTGTATTCTTCCTTCCTTCTCCACCTTCGGCGTGCAAAGCTTTATGTAGCAGCCTGGGGGACGCGCTATCGCCAAATATGACATTTCCCAGCAGATTCTGTTCTGGGTGTTGTGGAACATGGCGCTGATTTCCCGTTTGTTTGTTTGTTTTTTCCTATAAACATCAGCTTCCCACTCGCTTGGCTTTACTCACAACTAAGTTTAACAGTGCCTGGCCTGTCCTACCTTGCACTGGCAACAACAACATATCTCACCTAACCTCTCCGAGCGAGGGCTGGGTGAGATGTGAGGAGGGAATCGCTGGCTGTGAGGGCGGCGAGGCCCCGGCGCGGGCTGCCCAGAGGAGCCGTGGCTGCCCCGTGGCCGGCGGTGCCGCGGGCCGGGCTGGAGCCCCGCGGGTGTCCCTGATCCACCCCCCGTGTCCCGGTGGGTACCTGGAATCCCCGCGGGGGGTGTCCCTGTCCCCCCGTGTCCCGGTGGGTACCTGGAATCCC